AACACACCCTAAATTACGTATCAAGCATTGCGTAACATAATTGCAATTCAACAAACCAGTCATAGGAGAGGGGCCAGTCGTTAAATAAGTTACTGTAATTCTACACAACAATTAAGAAAAACGATCTTCGCCATGGCCAACCATCGATAACTGCCCATAATTCTGCAGAAATGCTGTAGAGGCTAAGCGGACAAAAATTTTAGGAATCTAGTCGCACTCCGTTGGAGGGATAGGTGCAAGCCAAGAATTGCTATAAATACTTAGTGTCCTCAGCTCTCGAAATTGGCAGACAACAGTGGATGGACATCACAGTTTACTGCCCTTCATTTGAATACTCCTAAGCTTCATCCTGCGCAAGAAGGATGCTGGCGATCCATTAAGGTAATTGTCTAAATACACCAACAAAGCGACTATTTAAACAGGCTCGAATTATCAAAGTCAGATTTCTTATTCATAAATTTGAAAGCGTCATCTGACAAGGCGTGTTTTTTTCAAAAATAAGAAGATCAAGCGAAGCTATGAAAAAGGGAGCAATACAGCAGCTACTTAAATCACGCAGATAGCATTGTAAAACAATAAAAAACTCAATCTGTTGGGCCAGTTGGGAGCCGCACACCTTTGCCACCAGAGGAGTCACGCCCGCCTGCCAAGGGCAGTGGCTAGATTGTTGATAGGATCAAAACAGGCAAGAGCAGTAGCCGATCCTTGATGAAGGAGATAAGTAACAATATCCAATGCAAATTCAGTGACCAAATCACGTTCACCTACATTCAATGGCCTGACTCTCTTACAGAAGCCTTGTATTGGAAATGCACAATTCGCATTCCTTTTCGGTTTAACGGTAGCTGGCAGCACTAAATCATGTCGCGAGCAGATTTGTGGATTTAAAGCAGTAAAGCAAATGAAGGTTACTATTGGTCGCGAAGCATGGCAAGCAACACTTATCCTAAACGGTTATTTTATTTTCTTACATTCACCAGTTGCCACATCTACAACCTCCTGTAAAGTTTAAAGGATAACACAATTCATGTCCAGAAATCTCGAAGGCATTCGCGCCTGCCTCAAGTGTACGAGCGGGCTCGCAACGTCGTGATTGGCAGAGCGGAGAGAACAGGAACACGTGCCGAAGTCAAAGAGGCAAAGATGACCAAGCGAATGAGGCTTGGAAGGATGCGGTGATAGAATTCATTCTCACAACACAAGTATTTTGCTTTTCGATGGCGCCACCGTCGCACCCATGTGAAGTGGAGCCACCCAAAGGCGGATGAAAGGCAGGCGTGGGTATCAGACGAGACGCATGTTGATTGACTGAACAGAGCCGCGCATTTCAAGTGCTGTAGTCAGCAGTCTTCGCATTCAGATGTCAATGAGTTTGATTAAAGGGACAAACACGATCACAGAGGAGGCATCACCTAATTTCACTAGAAAATGCAGCATTTTGTTTAGAGTGGAAGCGGCAGAAATTGGGTAAGGTTAAGCACAAGTGAATTTAGATTAATGAGCATGAATATGTGAAATGTGAAATAGGCAGATTTGCACAAAACACGGAGTCACTAAACTCGAAAATGCGATAATTTTGATGTGGCTGTCTAGACCTGACCTATGATAAATTGATAGTCATTTCGCACTCATGTGGCTTCATAAATAAGCACTCATTAAAGCCCTTTTGTACCCACTTTACTACTCATCTACTTGTCCATATCCGCCTCAAAGCATTGCTTTAATCATCCAATCATTCATTCATTCCTTCATTCATGACTTGGTTTAGATCCACAATGAAGCATACGAAGACACCGCGAAAAGGTGTCTTGTAGTATTGCCAAAACCGAGTATATGCTCACACGACAATTGTCGTACTTTGATTTCAAAGGCTCCCCTACCACATTCAAATCAGGTGGAGCCACCTAAGTGCTGTTGAAAGGTGCGAGTGTGTACTAGACGAGTCGCGTGTTGGTTAGCAAATAGAAGTTAAGCATTTAAATTCCGTGCGTCAGCAGTTGTTGTATTCAAGTTCTAATTCCTTTTTAACTGTAAAAATTTGAGCACATAGAATGGACTACCAAATGTTCACAAGATATTGCAATATTTCTGCCAGGGTTAAGGCAACAGAAATTGTTTTAGAAAAGTAGTTGACATTGGGATGGTGAGCATGAAAATGGCAAATACGAAATGGACAGATTTGCACATAGCGCAAGGTCACAATTCGCGAAATTTTTGTTATTTTGCTGTGGTCGTTAAGATCTGATCCCTTGTGAATTGTTATTCCTCCTGCACTTTGGCGGATTCACACACGAGCAATCGCTAAGGCCTCTGTGCATCCACTTCGCGGTACATTTACGTCTCCACATCCACCTTAACGCCAGCCCTCATTCATGTGCTCATGCATAACTTGGATTTGGGTGTGGGTGTGGAACGAATACCATCTATTTAGGTTGACGATATGAATGCCCCCTCCATGAGGAAATTATGCACAAGTCCGTAATTGTGCACAAACTCTTCTGTCAAGTCAATGCCCCTAACAAATTTGTTCAGTGTGCTCTTCAGCCTAGTCGAGCTACTCTAGGCAAGAGTGGATCTGTGAATATGCACAGCCCTAGATGGCATCCACTTATCACTTTTCAAAATATTGGTAGGGATTCTGAGAACTTTCCGTATTGTAGAAAATGGTTGTCATTTTGCGCAAATATGGCGCGTTGAGTTCACTTTCTCGTAATAATACAACAAGCAGTAGGAAGAAGCAAATGTTAAAGTGCAATTGTAACACCACAAACGGCCATGTCGGACAGCATTAGAACACCTGGGAGGCAACACATGCCGTATCATCAGTCCACCCATTAATAATATTCAACATCAGTGATGAAGTTAATTGCCAGCTTCATATCATCCATGCAAATGCACGGATCGCACAGCGGTGGGGAACGATTTGTTGGAAACAACTGGTAGGGGTAGCGTGGCATATGAGGGTCGAAACAAACGTGCATGAGCTTGGTAAATGCATTGCTAACTACGCTTGATGGTCCATTTACCTTCCCACTGACGGCCCCTTTCCACGAAGGGCTTCCATGTCTGCCTATACCGCCTCTTATCTTCCATACCCCCTGTCTTTGCAGGCACCAACCCGTCCAACTGTACAATCCTCACAAGAAGCTGCCTCACCAATTGGTAGAGGGATTGTTTCTATGTGCATGCCTCATTGCGTGTTAGCCACGTCGGCTCATCGCACAAGGCCTTACCTGATTGGCACAGCTAGGAGCACAATGGCAAGTGCCATGATAGAATAGGCGAAGACTTCGAAGATAATGTGATTAAGAGGATTGAGCAAATACAATGTGTTCCAACAGGAGAATTACTGGACTGTATTTTTGAAGGTGGCCTTTGATGCACTTAACTCGGGTGAAGCCACTACTGCTTGTCACGACTGAATTGGGGAATATCGGCGGTTAAGGCGTAAGCATGGTGTGGATGGCATCGGTGGCTTGTGGAAACATCACCACTACTAATACCCAATGCGTAGCTGTTGTCAATGTGGCTGGAATATGCGCCAGACGTCAGTATTACTGAATGTGCTACGCGGTGGATCGGAGCCTAGCTGGCACATCCTTCTCTGCCCTAAATACATACAAGCCATTGGTCATCTTAGCTACATCTCCTTGTCTATCAGCCGCACAAGTTGTGGTATAGGCATCATGCTTTCGCCTTCGCGCCAAACCTTAATGTCAGATATTCTACTGGAATTGCTGCAATGTGGACATCTTAAAATTCAAATAACAAATTGTTTTTGGACTTACGGATAAATCAATTTAAAATCCCATCACAATCTGTAAGGTCATAGCTAATGACGTATTTTGGGTCTACTCACGCCCTATTTAAACATACCTACGAGTCTGTAATTTGCTTTCCTTGATATAACACATCATACACACCTCTCATAAAAATCTCGGGCCAAATGTTGCACAGAAAAAAGGATTGATTTAAGTAGTAAAAACATGTTTAATTGTTTTGTTGTAAAAAGCAAGGGTGATATCCGAGGCTATTAAAAGGCGCGGTATTTGTTTCCTAACGCATACATCTTTCAGCACAATTCAATACACGTTACAAATAATCTAATAATACACCAAAAAAGCTTTAGCATGAGTGAAGACCTATTTATTCCAGTAGTTATTATTTTGACATTAGCGAAGAGGCTTATTTTTTTAGTTACCTAAAAATTTAATTATAACCTGACTTTAAAATTGCACATAGCTTGTTATTTTACTTGTGGTAACAAAAAAAATACTGGGGCTAAAATTAATTTTATTTTCGTGGATAATCTACCAAAAATATGCAGAAAATTACAGGAGCCCAACAATCACGAAAGTCTAAATTCACCCAAAGACTGCCTCTATAATTTCGTCCTTTCGTCTTAATTACTTAGTAGCTGACCCAACTTTGTTTTTTGAATACTTCAAATTGCCTCTGCTTGCAACACTTGAACCGATTTTGCGTTGCCTATTGTATCAGGTCGTAGATAGAGATATTCTTCTGCTGAGGGCTTACACTCGGCTAAACACCTATTCCTTATCCATGAAGACTTAACAATGCATTCCTACCTAGAAAATTGGGATGTAAGCAGTAGATAAAATCCGAAAGTAATTACGACAAATATTTACTGAGTAGTTGGGTTGGGTTTGAAATAGGCGTTCACACATTCATTATTAGTGTTAATTCGGGGTTTCACTCGAAGTTTTGAAGACCGTTTTAAGCCACTCTTTTACCAAAAAGCGATATTGGAAACAGATGGAAATTCAAAATTTGGCACTGTGCTAGCCTTTACCTTTATGCAGGAGTAGATCTTATCAAATCAAACACTAGGTGTGATGCTTTCTCGGATGTTTTAGGAACCTCATTCGTCTTTTAATGCTCTTGACTACCTAACACTTGAATTATACCGGAAAATCCTGCAAAGCCGGGGCGTTTGACACTGTGAAGAGCTTGAAAGACATTTAGTGGGTTACTGTATACTGAAAGTTGCATCCTCGAAAACCATTTCCACTCATTTGGCACTTGCCTTGTACCGAGGCTGCGACTATCATATAAAAGTACTGGCGGAGATATGTGGTAGTCATCTTTTTGTGAATTTGCCTTAAACATGCGGTTGCACCTGACTAATAATGGCAAGCAACAGAGATCTTCCCATCGTCATCACCGACAAAACATGACTTGCTTTTCATTCGCACTTGTTTAGCCAAGTTTTTGGTCTCTCAAATTGTTGCAATGAGTGTGAAATGTATGATTCACGACATGTTTGTAGTCACACCAACCCATTTCCATTGCTTTGCGAAAGCCGAATTTGACCTTTCCAATTTACAATTTAACTGTTATCTCCAAGATTTGCTCGTCTCTTGGACCTGGTTATGTAAAGTTTCGCCACAACCATGCATCATGAGTTAATGCATCATTTTTCTGTTTAAGGCGAGAAGACAGGACAAAGTTCAAGATCTTTAGAGGTGGCAGCAGGAGTGGAGACTGCGGAACAGTAAAGAGAATTTAAAAAGCGCTTACGCTTAGTCTACTTTGCATGAGTGAACCACCCGACTTAATCACATTCCAAAGTCAACAATATCATCAATGAAATCTCGAAACAGGTATCTATTCAACCCTAGGCGTGCCTTTAATTACTATCGCACAATTTAGTCCTCCATAATGGAGCCAGAAACCGTTGGTGCTGTTTACCCCAAGTAAAATACACTAACGTAGGAGAACTTTTGTGAGCTGAAAACCCATCCTTACCTCACTTATCAAGGGTATTGTTACAGAATCATAGCATCAACTTCAAGTGAGCTGCCACTCTTTAAAACATTACTGACCTCCTTCCAACTTACAATTTTTCATCCTCAACATTAGCAGTAGACTTGTTTTAAAGACACGACACTAGTAAGCAAAAAGCGTAAGAGTTAAAGTGATCACAAGTGGAAAGGCTGAGAGACTAGGCATACCAGAAGACACTTCACCAAAACAAAGGAACAGCGGAGACTAAAGAGCATCATATAGATCATTCTCAGGTTAATTTTTTTCCCGAAAAACTTATCACTGCATGCTATATGGGCGTTAGCAAGACACTGGATATGTTTGACTGTGAAATAAAATCTGATCAGCTAATAAGGAGTCTACCTTATGCTCCGACGTTGACCACCAAATTAGCGTGCGATGAGACAAATCGAATCCATATTCTCCAGCTCTCCATTCCTTCCACCCAAGTCACCAATGCAAATGAAATGAGATTCTACATGACCCCGATCAGGTAAAAGTGAGAGCAACAGTTCGATTTAAAGAAAACCATTATTGAATCATATTTCTGGAGATAAGAATAACAAAATGGTTATTAGTAGGGGAAAAATAGAGTCAGGGAAATCGCCTTAAAAAGGAATAGTTTTAACTCTAGGGAGGGAAAGGAGATATACGGAGACGGTATTGACAAAGGGAAATAAAACGCTTTAAAATGTGAGAATAAGGGAGGATGTGAACAACTGAAAGGTCGAAGGGCGTGATGACAATAATGGTAATGAAAGCAATGGTGCAGGAGACGCTGTTTATTTATAGTAAGAAGGTGGACATTCACCTGTTGGATTATTTTTTTATGCATAAAATAATTTAGCTGATAAATAGGCAATAAATCAAAAGCCGTTTCATTATAAGTCAAGGGACTACGGTAACAGTGGGTCCTCGTCACACTTATGATGTCGTTATTGTCACACAATTTTGCAACAGTAAATGTGAGGCAATAAGTAAATTGCAATTACAGACGCTGATTTTTCGAGTGCAGCTACGTGAATTGCAACGCATCAGCCTCAGGGTTTGATGGGATTGGCACTGAAACTGGCGTTATCTTTCACCTGTTAGAGCGAAGCCAATGGATGTACCGGCTACTGGGGAGAGGCTGATGGATTCCTTTGCATCTCACATGAAATGCTCGTATAGTCACGCGTTACTGGCAAACAAATGGCATACACTGCATTAGGGTTTGGTCTGTCTGCATTTCATCAGACGACAATCTTTTCCCTTGACGCATGTTTGCACTCCATTACTCTCTCGAGCGATATGCTATGACTTTTCACGCAACCTACGTTCATGGAAATGACAATGACCTATCCTCTCAACGATTTTGAGACATGTGGCCTTGAGGATGGTTGACGCGGGCTTAACAATCACCTGGCTAGGTAATGCGTTAGTCCTGCTTTAATGGCTACGCTCCAAGCCATTGCATAAGGTCCCACCATCTCACTTTACATTAAGCATACCAGTAAAGAGATTTCAGGCTAAATGTAACTGCATAAAAGGATGATACCATTTTGGTCATGAAATCCATAGTTTTCAAATTCAGGTAGGAAATACAGATGAAAATGGAGAATTGATTCGCTCTCTTGTCCTTGAGTCGAGGTCCAAGGCTTCAGTGGAGGTAAGAGCTATGAGCTGCCTCATCAGTTCAGGTCGAAACTGTAAAGATGGTGGAATCATTCCTCGCCCGAACTGACAATGAGGGCAGTGAAGGAGTCCTAATCCCAGCAAAAGGTGTGAGTCCTCCCACTGGGCTCAAAGAATTTCTCTTAAGTGGGGTTTTGTGGAATACATCTAGAAACGGGTAAAATGGCAAGCGATGATGGCAAGAAGGCACTAAAGCTAGATGTAGCACTTCCTTCAGACACATTCACAACTGACAGCCGCCTCTTGGAATCTAACCGTTGTTTAGAGGACACACCATATTC